TTTCATAGCATATGTTTTATTTACTTCAAAAAATTTCCCTATAAAAGTTTTTTTCAAGCTTTTTTTATTATTAAATAAAAGTGCTTTAAGAAATTTTCTCGAAAAACCCCTGAACACGTAAACTGTATAAGTTAAAGTATTTTTATCCAAAATTTTATAAAGATTGGTAAATGCGTTTTAGAGTTATTTTTTTTTTACTTGTTATGAGTTAATTTAAACTATTATTAATTATGCAACTTCTACATATGTACATACCAAAACTAAAATTTATTGATTTCTTCTACGTTTTAAGAAATGAATTAATCATACATAATATCACGAGAACTATTTATTTATTAATTGCTTAAACTAGACTTAGTAGTTTTTTATTTGGTTTTTCTTGAAAAATGTTGAATGCAAAATAATTTAATAAAATCACGGGTTTTATTTTTAATTATTTTGCATAAAATTATTTCTCAAAAAGAATATCAAATAAAAAACTTACTGAGCATAGTTTGATTAAATTTATGGATTGAGTAATATCTATCTGTCTATATTATTTCTCGAATTAAAGGATACAATTAATTAAATCTGACGTATATGTATGTCAAAATTTATGAACAATTTTTTAAACGAAATTCCATTAATTTAAAGGTATTTCGTAAACTCGATAACTTATTTTTTATTGTTTTTTAAAAACTGTATTTTAAAACTTGTAAATAACACCATAAAATTGTAAACAAAAATCGAATATGGAGGCTAAAATTTAATCGCTGTTAAATAGTTCTAGTGATTTAATCGCTTATTTAAACGAAATTTAAGGCTTTTGATTGGTTCATATTATAATGAGGGAAATAATCGCTGTTAAACTGTTTTAGTAATTTTTTAATCGCTTATCCAAACAAAATTTTTATGAAAATTTAACGCTTTTGATTGGTTCATTTTTTTAAGAGGAAAATAATCACATATTTTCCAAACAGCCCATGTATTTTTATCTATTTTAATATTTTAACTCGAAGGAGACAATCTTATTGAAATTTTTTTCTTATAATACGTATACATAAAACATATGCATTATACATTATAATCACGTACTACTGTCAAAATTCAATACGTATTGTTCCTGGTGTATCCAACCAACATTATTACCAACTGTCAACGAGAGTTAGCGTCATGTTTTTCACCTCCTTGACACAAGGCAATAGTTTTACACGTGCACAGCCTTTTTTACTTTCACACTAAACATACAGTATGTTTAAAAACTAAAAATTTCCACATATAGGTATACTTTTTTCTTAATTTTGACATGTAACAGTAATATGACTTAACTTTCTCTTGGCTGACGTACGAAAAAAGGTTTAAAACGGAAGTTGTAATAATTTATTTACAATTTTTTAAGGTTAGGTTTGTGAGTATTCGGACGTTTCGAGGGCATTTACTGCTCTCTTCCTCAGGGCTAATTCAATAAATGTATTAACAGCTTAGTCATATCGTCAAACATACTCTCTAAAAATGACTAATTTAATAGTTATTAGTGGCTGCTTTTTTACTTGTACCATGGTTAACCATGGGATACCATGGTATCCCAAAATTTAACAGCCAATTCTTATGTAAAATGTCGTCAAAAGTTAAAAAAGTAGAACAGTTTTTGAGATATATTCAATTATCCATTTAATATGAAATTGACTATATCTCAAAAACTGCTCCACTTTTATAATTTTTAATGGTATTTTCAGATTCAGGGGACAATTTTACATAAGAATTGGCTGTTAAATTTTGTGATACCATGGTATTTCATGGTTAACCATGGTACAAGTGAAAACAGCCACTAATAACTATTAAATAAGGCATTTTTGACTAATTCATTTTTAGAGAGTATATACCGCAAAACGGCATGTACTCCAATAAAATAATCCAATACAATAAGAAACCTTCTGATAGAATGACATAACAATAACAAAATCAACCTCAAAAATTTGTTAAAAGGACAAAACTACTATGGATGATTTATTTACAATCTTTAAACAGCATTTTGTATTGCATTTTTTCTAAAAAAAACTATACAAAATAACCTAAAAATATGCAGTAAATAAAAAACATTAAATTGACAGTCTGTATAGACATATACATATCTAAACTACCTGCTCACTTTTCCGCCAATTCGTCTTAATATAAGTTTTCGTATTTCGGAAACTAATTTTCAAACTAATTCGACAGTTCATAAAATGCGACCAGACTTCTTCGGCAGACTTTCGCCAATATAAAACGTGTTAACGTCGGCTCCGATAAATTTTTTGGAAAACTTAATTTAATCCTATAAGTTTTATGATTTTAAATTGAAAATAGAGAAGTGAAATGAAATTTTTTTTATTTTATTATTTGGATTATTTTTTATAAAAAAATCAACCTAAAACTGTAAAATCAATTTATTATAAAGTTACATTTTGCGGCCCAAAAGATGAATAAGGTGTAAGGGGTAAAAGCGTTTTGTGGCTGAACAAAAAAGACACACACAAACAATAAAAAAGCCATAAATCGTTTTACAAAGCGATGGACCTTTTATATTCTCGCTGTTTGTACAGGCATATTTTCTCCCATTTTGAAAACTTTTTAGCCCGCCCTTAACACGGCATTACATCTGCATGGAATCGCCCCGTGGAGGCAACAGGATTGATCTAGTGTGCCCTGGCGAGACAATTTTTTTAAAGGTGTCTGGATGTTTTAAAAGTACGGTTAAAATTACATTAATTAATATTAAGTCTCGTCAAAACGATGTTTGACATACTTTTGTGTAGAAAATTTGTAGTAAAATAAAAGTTTTTAAGGAAAATAATAAATTAATTTGATAGTCAAATTATTTTTAGTTTTAAATTGGGCATTGATATTGTACTTAAATATTAAACGTGTTTTATATACTTATCATTAAAAATTTGATTTATATTTTGAGGCTTTTATTTATTTTTTTTATACATTTTTTGTATTGCTGGTTACTTCTGATAAAGTTTAAATAGTTAATAATTACAATCGTACAAATTTCCATGACACCAAGTGCCCTTTTAAATACACATATGACATTTTAGTCACGGGCTGAAGTTAGTTTTAAGTTATTTGACAGTTGTCAAATTTCATACGTTAAAATAAAGTGCCCTTCTTGTAAAATAATACTAAATTTAAACATTATTTTATTATCTCACTATAAAAATACAAAAGTATTAAATAGTTTCTTAACGCCAATATTTGAATAGTGCTGATAAAACATTTTCTTTACTTTCACCGTGAAAAACTGCTTTTATATCGGATTAACGGTCCATTTTCAAGGGATAAATTTTAATCAACACATTAAAATTTGACATTTGGAGATTCCCAAGTTGGTTACTCTATTGTTTTATACAAATATTTAGTTTAAATAATTTTATATAATATTAAGTATTTGTCGTAAAAAATGCTTAGTACGCAACTCGTTCATAAACTTTTTTAGACACACATTTAATTAAGCACTCGTCTAAAATGGCGTTTATCAAACTTGATACATAAAAATTTAATTAGTATTTTTTTTATAAAAATTATTTTAAAACAAACGGTTTATTATAAATTAAAATTGTGTTTTGTTTAAAAATAATCCTAAGCATATTTGTATCAAATTTAAACCAGGGTTTCCGGAAAATGGCGCATTACGGTTACTTACCTACTTTAAATTAGTTTATAATTATAACAAAACACAAACAATTTTTAAACTTGCAATATGAAAATATTTAATATTTTACTTAAATTTTTATAGTTGTAGATAAATCAAATTCAATAAAAGCTTTATACATTGTATACAATGTATAAATGTATAGTTTTTCTAATCCAGCTTAAAGTATACATATGTGTTTACTTTAAGCTACTAAGATACTAATGTACTGTGGAATTTATTTAAATTTTAAAAATTATAAGGTTTACTTACAATGATTACAATCATTACAGCAAGCTCGATGGAGATACCGATATTATTTTTCTATGAAACAAAAGCTTGGCTTTTTTAATATATGCTGTTTAGTTAAACCGTTTATAAGAAGAAACACAGATATGTAGACCAAAAGCTCCTTAATACTTATTTGGCACCAAACACTTTAGAATGTTATTAAATGCAGTATTTATTTATTTGTAATTCTTAAACCAATAATTTTTATTGTGAGGCCATAAAAACTTCTTCATTTTAAACATAAGCGGTAAATGTATAAAGACGATTTCTTTTGATGACTTTACTTTGACAGATACATTATCTTAAATGTTTTAAATAACAAGTTTTTAAAGTCACGTGGTGGGACTTTAATAGCAAACTAAAAAATAGTTGCAAAAATGGCGAATGCGCCGGGATTAACTTTATATTTTACATTTCAGATTTTGGGTGTTGTTTAGTTATAATTACTTTTTACGCATTAATACGTAATAAACGTAAAAAATTATTTAAAAAAAAATATACCTTCAGTTATTATACAAAATTTTATTTGTTTCCTTATATATAATAATTTGTTATTATTATTAAAGAATAGTTATTTATGCATCAAGACTTTAATGCTGAGGTGCATATTAAATTTTATCCGAAATTACATTTAATAATACTAATAATTATTATAATTAATATTGAGGATCAAATAAAATGTCATTTGATGATCAAACCAAATGTCAAATGAAAATTAATAAAATTAACTTATTATTTTTATTAAACAACATTTTGTGAAAGGGTCCAATAGCAGTAGACATATCTGAAAATGTATAATGGGTTGCATACAATACTCGTATTAAATCGGCACTTCTACTTTACTGTCTATTTCTTTTACTTTACTGCCGATTGTTGACTACTTTACTGCCAATTTCGGATAAAAGTAATCTTTGTTAAAATTTTTAAAATTAAAAAAAAATCTTTATAAAATTACTTGTTTGTTATAGGCTTTGTTAATTTTTTTTATTATTAAGTTAATAAATTTAAGTAAGTTCTTATTGGCATATTAACTTATAAAAAACATTTTTTGTTACAGAAATTTTTCGAAAAACTGGGCTCCTACGACAACGGTTTCGACATCTGGGGAGGCGAAAACTTGGAGCTCTCGTTCAAAACGTGGATGTGCGGGGGGACACTGGAAATAGTCCCGTGCTCGCACGTGGGACACATATTCAGAAAACGATCGCCTTACAAATGGAGAAGCGGTAAGCAAGCACTACCCCTGTAGGCATATAGTAAATTTAAAAGTAAACTACGTACACGTCATCAATCAGCTGATCGGGCACGGTTGTCAATGTGATGCTAAAATCCTTGCATCAAGGGAAAGTGGTAGTGCAACTACAGGGCGATAGATGGCGTTTACATGAATAATACCAAAATGTCAAAAGTCTGAGTTTTTATAACCTATATGATGCACCGCCAAAAGTATGTTTTTAGCCATTTTTAAAGACATTTTCTGATATAAAACCCAAAAATGTTGCCATCTAAAGTCAGTCTCTGGTATATATATTATTATTTCATGTATCCAACATATATTTTGTTAAATATTCTAATATATAATTAATAATAATCCTATTTACCTCTCTAACAGCTGTTAAAGGTAACAAAGGTCCATTATTATCCCGTTCTGCCTCAAAATAGCGTATTAAGGATGACACCAACTCTTGACTCCGACTATTTAAATGCTTCGGCATTTTAAATATAGGAAACACAAAAAAACGATATATAACAAACACAAAAACGGCAATGAAAACTTAAACGATATAAAATAACACAAACAACAAACAAAATAAACGAAATAATACACGAATTAAACGAAATATTCAAAAACACTACTGACAGCTTCGAAATTCTAAAACGTCAAATTCTTTTTTATGTGTCATTTAAATATGAAAAATTTAAATGTAAACATGACAACATCACAATTGTTGCCAACTTAATTTGGTTAAAATGCATTCAAATATTCAATTACAGACTTCGACTTAGTAATTTAGTGTTGGTACCAATGCGTAAAATTTTTGTTTTATTGATGACGTGTACGTAGTTTACTTTTAAATTTACTATAAAAAATGTTTTTATCTCCACGCGGTCTATAATTTAAACTTTATTGTTGTCAACATTCGATAAAGACATACCTTGTTATGGCCTAGGCCGATAAAAATTTTTATGAGGCAAGTAGTTAGTTCGATTTTTTCTCGCTAGGGGTATTGTTTTGACAAATTAATCCTTTTCTAAGAAATTAACGTACTAAACTGGTTTAATTTATTTATAATAAGCACTAATTTGTTTGTTTTACTGTTAATGTTTAATATTTTTCATTAAATTATTGTAAAATTAAATATGAATAATAAAACAAAAAGTGAGGTTGGGCAACCAAGAAAACGCACGATTCTTTTTCTACGATTTAAATTATCTTTAAGTTTTAATTTGCTTTAAGTTTTCAGTGAAATTAAATGTTAATAAACACAGCTTAAACATTCCGTACTATCTATTTTTTAAATAAAAATCCAAACAAATTGAAATTAGATACCTACCTATTTATTAAACAATGAATTGAATTCAATGTAATAGCAAAAATCTTTAGCTAATAAATAAATGAGATTCTAAAAAAGTGAGGTTAGGCCGCTTTGATGTTGAATTAAATTGACCTATATAAAGTGCTTTGAAGATAAAATGTTGTATGCCATTCAAACCTTGAGCTTAGCACAAAAAGCCTTACTTCTTAACCTAATGACATAAATAACTAATATTTTGGTTTTTTTTTAGGTGTGAATGTACTAAGAAGGAACTCCGTGAGGTTAGCTGAAGTTTGGCTGGATGAGTACGCTAAGTATTATTATCAAAGGATAGGCAACGATAAGGGGGATTTCGGGGATATTTCATCCAGGAAATCTTTGAGAAAAAACTTGGGTTGCAAGAGTTTTAAATGGTTTTTGGATACCATTTATCCTGAACTGTTTATACCTGGCGAGGCAGTGGCAAGCGGAGAGGTAAGTTTCACAAATTTTATACCAATGTGCGCCTTAATTTTTAAATGTTACCACAAATACCCAAGTACTTATTTTAAAAGAAAATGGATTTATTTATACGGTTAATGAAAAGCCTAAGTAACTGTGTAGAAAAACAAATAACTAATGCCGTCTCTCTAAAATAAATAAGAGCAAAGTCTGTAAATACGCTCCTTAATCCTCTAAATCCTCCAAGCTTCCCTGTGGAGTGACAAAAAGCCAAACACCTTAGCGTTTATTTGGATTAAAAACAGCTCTGCAGAAAGACAAAACTTAGTAATACCCTTGATAGATGGCGCTAGTTGTCGATTAATCGAATGCGCAGTTGTCGTAGCTCCCGGAGCTAATCTGACGTTTACTTTGCTAAATTAGAGGAGGCCTAGGCGCGTTGGGCGTCGGGACGCTTCGTATAATCTACCAGGAATTAGTTTGATTCAATATTTGGCCTCGTTAACGCGTTTATATTATAATTCAGAAGAATTGCATGGTTAATTAGGTAAATGATTGAGATTTAGTCCTGGAATTATTTGCTATATTCAAGACGCAGAAGATGATTGTAAAATTTCACAAAAAACTATGTATTTTTGACAGTTCTAACCCTTTTGAATTTATTGGCAAAGTTAAAATGCATTTATTTAAAATCCTTGGGAAAGTAGTATCCAATGCAAGAAGTCTAAATAAAAGAGGAGTAACTCTTGACCACAAGGCATAATATGAAGACTGCAGATGCTCACATCACATTAAATTAACAAAAACCTATTATTTTTTCTTAAATTCTTATTTACTGTAAAGTTTATTTATTGTTTAAATAAAATTTATAGTATTTGGTTCGGATAAACTGCTTTTTATTTTCAAATCACTTTTTTAGGTTTGCTTCTTGTATTTACCAGATGATTTTAGTTTGGTTGTATGTATACGCTAAAGAAGCATCGCTAGTAGCGCCACCACCTGGCCGTTATCATCGTCATCAGAATTCAGCTTTTAATAAGCAGCTGTCAATTATTTTTGTTAGATTAAAAATGTCCAAACTTTAATATAAATTATATTAGGTAAAGTTATCATGAGTTAATTCTGCACCAACAAATAAACGTACCGTATTGGATCCTTTGGCAAAACATGAAAATGTATTTTTATTTTTTTACAATTAAAAACTCAATAATTCACAATGATAACTTAGATAAAATTCACACAGTAAGCGTTGAGTTTCTTAATCAATAATATAAGGAATAATAAATCGAAATCGAGTACTTAACCAATTTTTTTTTAGTTTTTACTTGTAACGCAAAACACAAATAACGTGCGCGATTTAGCTGTGAAATTAAAAAAAATTGTAGAGTAAGACTTCTGGCTTCCTCTCCTTTGTAAAAAAACTACTTATTTATTTAAAAATGATGTGCAGTTCGTATGCTTTAAATGTATTGTTGACAATTCTTGAATTCACACAATGTTATCAAACACCACAAGATGGCGCGCGCGTTGCGAAAACTCGATGCTTATTTAGAGTATTACATTTAAGAGCAAACATATTTCTTTTAAAATACTTCTCTAGATAAAAGTAAGATTACAACCTGACAAAACAAAACCAAAAGGACTGTTTCAAAGTGTTTAGTTGTCCCCAGACGGTAACTGTAATTCACGTGGAAGATAACTTAAATCAAAATGCACTTGTTAATGGCGCCATTCTACTACCACGACCGACAATCTTTTGGGAATATAAATCTCAATTAAACCAGCCAGCTAAGTGTCATAATTCCCCATTTACCTCTTGCAATGTTTCCGACCGAAAAAACAACTGCTTGTTTTTGCCTTGCTTACTACGTTTTTTTTTAATTAAAATCTCGAGAAAAACCACGTTTTTTTGTTAGTCCCCGACTAATAAGAAGTCTGGAGTGTGTACATTTGACAACAGGGCTTTATGTAAGCAAAATATCCCTAGTGGGCTGGTGCAGTGTTTACTTGATGAAAAGGCGACCTTTTCTTGTTTGTTTGCTAAAAAACAACATACGGACCCTGCTGAACAAAGAACCACATCACGTTTTAGTCCTTGGCTGAGTTTAAAAACATATTTTCTAATCGTAAAAAAGTTCTTAAGAATAAAAAATTAATATGTTATGTAAAACCATACAATCGATAAAAAGCTATACGAGTTCTTTGTGAATGTCAACCTAAGACTTGTATACAGGGTGTCACCAAATAAGTTGTCATCCTTTAAGAGTCATTCTTCTGTCATTTTTTAACTAAATTTTTTTTTATTAAAAAATCATCAAAATTTTTTTAAAGTAGAAATTTGGGTTGTTCCTGTCCTATGACAACTGACGCCAAATATGCTTGCACAGTGGGAAATAATCTACATTTATTAAACATTTACATTTGTGTTATCATTGATTACTTTGTTGAAACTGTTTTTTGTTTTGCATACTCAGCTATTTTTAGGTACATTGAATAAAACAATACATACTTTTTCTTATTAGGTATCTCGAGGTTTCCGTGATTTTCCAGTCGATTTTAAATTTCACCTTTCACTTTTTACGTCGATTGATGCCCATGTAGCTATTTTTTAAGTGTTCCATAAAATCATAATAAATGTTCAACTATCCGGCAAAATTATTGTGTCGCTCTTGCTATCATATCCGGGTGATTTCGGATTTCATCTGCTGCTGCAGTGAAAAGTTCGCGGAGTTGTTCTAATGTGTAAACTTCGCTCTGGTACTCTAAACTGTTTATGTAGCCCCAGAGAAACCACAATAACAACCGAACTGTCAATAACACTAACAGTTTGCTTGATATTACATAATACACTGTGCGCATACCTGTTTATTTTATAATTGGATGAATCATATCATTAATGCATAAATAGCGATAGGTCCCAACATTTATTTTGTAATTTTATTATATTTGATTTAAAAAGCAGCCAATTTTCTTTTTTTTAATACAAACGGCACTATATACATATATGTATAGGATTTAAACGCGACAACATTGCGTGTTGTTGATATATGGGTACTTTTGACAGTGGAAGTGACAGTTCTATATGCAGTGTTATTTAAAATCTAAAAATGAGTTGTGAATGAAGTCAACTACAAAAAATTATTAAAAAAGGTATGGGAACATAAACTAAAGCAACATGCTACATGCAGTATGTTGAAAAAGCGAAAGTCAAAAGAGAAGAGAAGAAAACCACAGAAGGTAGAAGAGTTGTATAATTATTTAAAAAAATAACTTATAAAAAATATCTGTTTTTTTAGTTTACAAAATTATGGTCACCAAATAAGTCAAACAAATATTCCTAGATAATAACGTGTTTGTAATCCAGTGTTGCCGGATCTTTTAGGCGAGAATGACAGATTGATAAATAATGTTGGACACAGTCAACATTTACTATTGCTAAACTGTGTTGTGAATGTAAACCGCCCATGTAGTCTAAGCAACTTTAATAATTTATTACTCGAAAACCAGACGGACAATCTTTATAAAACGTTGTAAATGTTTTTAAGTAGACTGCTACAACCTAGAATTTTTTCAACATTTTCTCATAGCAACTAATGTCGTGCCCGAACCTCCTGCTGACAAATGATGATTTAAAGGGACAGATGTGATCCCAGTGAGAATTTATGCGTGACGGGTTTGCACACATTTCGTCAAAATTGTTTTCATGACGGATCTGGCGCATTATGCACAATTTGTCAGCTCGAAAGGGCCGCTACGTTCTTTCCTTTACCCCACTCCCCACAGTATTCATCCCTTTTTCGAAGGAGCGGGTCATTTGCAGAGAGGATATCAATCTGTTGGCGTACGCTTCGCGCATTTAAATTGGCCCGATGAGAAATCGCATCGATAAAACGTGATTCAAATTGATACATGGGCATATTAAGGGTCTTCTAACAAGAACTTGCATTTTTGATTAAAATAAAACAGTTTTAATGCATTTTTTCATAATTTGTGAGCGTTAGTCCCTAGGTACAAATGGGCGAATCTCACGAAATATCCCCCGATGGTGTTACCCCGTAATATTTAATAAAACTAAATGTGTTTGACCTACACTTTTATTGTGTTTTCATCTTTCATAATTAAGTAGATATTTCAGCTTAGGTTCCAGATTTTTAACCGCAATTTTTTACAATGTTTTAAAAGTCTAAAACCTATCCTCCGTGACTGTTAACCTATACGTTTTCAAATATCTGAGGTATTAAAAGCATACTAAAAATATCAGTTCACTAAGTAAATTAAACACATCCAAAGCAATCGAATCAAATATAAAATATTATTAAAAATTAAAAGAAATAATTTTTATAACCATTTATGTAGGTATTACAAAAACTGATTCTATCCTTCGTGAATCTGTTCATTAATTTGCTATTTAAAAACCTATTCACCGTGAAGTGTAATATCTCAGTAAGTAGATTTTTTTATAAATATTTTATGTATGTACAATTGTGTTTTTAAAAAATATTAAGGTGTCCAAAGATACAATAACTTATTTCAAATATACAAAGGGATGTTTAAAAATAACATACGAAATCCTAACCTCCGTGAAGCTATCTTCCGTGAAGCTCTAATATTTAAAATGTAAAATTCTTGCATTAGTGCAGAACCACTTATGTGATGTTATTACTAGACCTGGTGGCTTCCCAAAAACCCCATTCTAAACTAACAGTGAAACAACCAAAAATAAAAAATAATCCTTTTTACTTGGGGGACATCTCAATATATTCACCCAAATATATTTTAAAAATTTGCAGGTTTATTAAGTGTCATCAACCCAACAATCGATTTTCTATCGACTTAAATCTGCTCTGGCTAAATTGATGAATTTTGTAGACCTATATATCAAAAACAATGAAATTTGAGAAAAGCAAAAATTTCGTATTTACGGTTATCCTATATATCAAATGAGGCACGAATCTGCTCGATTCATGATCAATTGCCGGTGGATATAATTTTGGACTATCGTTCCAATATGTTACCCGCTCATTTCACTCATT